GCCAGAATTATAAGCGTTAATGTATTTATGCAAAGTTTGTCTGGCGAACGCAAGTATTTAAGTTGTGGCTTTTTGCCAAGCGAAAGAGAGGGAAGCAGTTAGTCGAAGCAGGCCGCTTACCTTAGAAGTTTTACTCAGTTGCTGGTTGCCTTCCAGGCCAGAGGTTTTAATCCTCTTGATAATTTTAAACGTATTGTAGTGTTCACAGTTCTCTGTACTACATACGGCTTCCTGTTAATATAAGGCCAATCTTCCACGTTTATTACTTCAAAGTTAAGAGTTTAGTTTTATTTTTATATTTTTACGTTTACACCACAAGTAGTGGGTCTTTGTATTCCGAAGTACGGAAGTTATTGTAAATAGAGAAAAATAAAGGGTTTTGTATACCCTTCTTGTGTATCCTGTCTACTTCCCACAGTTATTGAACATAGCTTTAGTAAGCTCTCTGTTCCGAGTCAGGTCCTTGCATGTTCCCGAAGAAAGTAAGACGGAACATTGAACCTGATACTGTAATGCACTATATAATGTTCCTTATCATTTTAATTAGGTATAAGCTTTCTACCCCCCATTAATGATTGATTTATAGCTTTCATATTTTTTTTTTCAAATAAGGCGAAAATAATGTCTCATTTAATGTTACTTTTTCAGGAGCTAGAGGGAGTTCGTTGTGCAGATCATGTAAATTTTAGGATAAGTTAGATCACACTCGAAAATGTATCCCACAGAGCCCTCATCTTCTATTTCTAATGTGGCCTTTTCATCCATACTGTTAGGGTCTTGCCATTTAAAGTTCATCAAAGGTAGAGGCTGAACCACTGCCCATCCATATAAATTATTTTTATCAAAGTACACGATGTACTTACTTGGAAGGGTAGGATCATAATCACTTAAATATTTATTATTGGCTCTACTATACGAAAATGATTTTGGGCAACTTGTACATTTCCACTACAAAAGGAAAAAAAAATTCCAAAATTATTCTTATTAACCTCTAAAGTGTTTGTGAAAAAATTACTAAATTCTAAAAAATATGTTCTACGTCCCCCTTTTTTTAACAAAACTAATATTAACTGACTTTGTTCTTATGCATGGTTTATTTTAAACATTTTGTTTTTAGATATTTTGTTCATCTCATAATATAAAGTACCTGGAAACGTTAAAGTTCTGTGTTAAAAAAATCTCAATTGAGGTTGTCTTTAAATACTAAACTAAATTTCCAGAGGCTTCTTCCCTAAATTTCTGAATTAAATTTTACTAAAACTAAATTTTCAGAACTACATTTCCAGGTACTTTATATTATGAGATGAACAAAATATCTAAAAATAAAATGTTTAAAATAAATCATGCATAACAACAAATTCAGTTAATATTAGTTTTGTTAAAAAAAGGGGGGCGTAGAACATATGTTTTATGATTTAATAATTTTTTCACAAACACTTTAGAGGTTAATAAGACTAATTTTGGAATTTTTTTTTCCTTTTGTAGTGGAAATGTACAACTTGCCCAAAATCATTTTCGGCTCGAAATAACATGTTGAGGCATGAGAGGCTACACTCCGAGAATGCAAAACATATTAAATGCGGCCGTTGTGGAAATGGATTTGCTCGTCGGTATGCTGCCAAGCACCATGAAACAAAGTGTCTGAAAAGACCGTCAACTTCAGCATATATAACACTTCAGGAGCAAACTCCCATATACAAGCATCTCTACCACCAGCCAAGAAATTAAAGAAAACTTTTCCTGATTGTGAAGAAGCTCTTAACTCCTTCAAACAATATATCATTTTACCCGAAGATGGATCCGATGAAGATCTCACCGTTTTTCTTTTAACTGTTCAAGATAGTGTACGCGAACGGTTACGGGAATATTTAACACTTAATAGAGGTATTAAATGGTACTACGTTGTTAGTGCAAAATTCCTAAGGTTTGTAACCGAACAAGAGATAGAAACAACTACAGCCCATTTTAGAAGTGCGTGTATGTTAAATCTGGATGACAACTTTGATGATAATCTTTCCGTAGCCGTAAGAAAAATTATGTTGTCTTATGACGAATTCTTGGAAAGAGGAAGTGGGTGGATCTTAGACAAAGTAAAAAGACTTGAGTTAAAAGTAGCAAGTTATGTTCCCCTTAGTGGTTCATCATTTCTGCATTTCCCTCGGAGCCTAGAAAATACAAATCCTATTCTAAATATTGCAAATGAAGATAACAAATGTTTCCTTTGGTGTTCTGCGGACATCGAAAAGTTGTGTCGCCAAATTGAAATCGATCCTTCTCAACTTGATTTCCAAAGAATTCTGTGGAAGACGGGCATAAATGAACCTAGCAAATGTTATGCGTTTAAGACTGTAACGTATGGAACTGCGTGTGCTCCTTATTTGGCAACCAGAACCATCATCAACTTACTCATGATGAGGCGGAATAACTACATCAACTAGCTTATGATGAGGCGGAAAGCTTCCCTCTTGCCTCTTCTGTTACTTTAACTGACTTTTACATGGATGACATCCTCTCTGGAGGATCAGAACTAAGTCAAGTAACAATATTGTGTTCCGAGTTGACAATGATGTTACAACGAGGAAAGATGAATTTACATAAGTTGGTGTTTTAATAAACCAGAACTCTACGCTGATATCTCTACGAAACAGAATTATGCTTTTCCTTTCTAGGATGATAAAAGAACTATCAAGGCTTTAGGTATCGAATGGAATACAACAAATGATTCCTTTTCCTATAAAGTCACCACCAATTCCCGTCTTACTTATACGAAAAGAAAAGTCTTATCAGATATCGCCCGCATATACGATCCTTTGGACTTAATTGGTCCAGTAATCACAAGAGATAAAATCTTCATGCAATCATTATGGCTTATTAACATTGATTGGCATGAGCATCTTTCTGAACCTTCAGCTAAGCAATGGACACATTTTGTTTCTACACTTACCGTAATCGAGAAGCTTCGCATTCCCAGACGGGCTGTGAAGCCGAATACTACAGTTGTGCTCCATGGGTTTGCTGACGCTTGTGAAACAGCATTTGGAGCGGTTCTATACCTTCAATCAAGATCTAGTGAGCAGTGCTCTACTGAACTGTTGTATAGTAAATCCAGAGTGTCATCATTAAAGAAAATCTCTGTACCGAGACTCGAAGTGTGTGCGCGTCTCCTTCTAGCTCAACTGGTAAAGAAGGCTCTCTCAGCGCTGAAATTGGATATCAGTGAAGTATTCCTGTGGTCAGACTCAATGATCGCATTAGCCTGCATTGCCACATCGCCTCATTCTCTCAAAACGTTTGTACGTAATAGAGTAACTAAAATACAAAATCTCACGGAAAACTATATTTGGAGACATGTTTTCTCAAAGGACAATCCTTCGGAATTTATTTGTGGAGGTCTGAATCCAGAAAAATAGCATCAAATAACGGACCATCATTTCTAATTAAGGAATTGTGTGTATCTATGAATAAGACCTTTGTGAGCCCCACAGATGACCAATATTTAACTGAACTGAAAACTCCTGTGACTACGACTTTAGCTATGTCAACAAGTAACGGTATGTTAAATGAACTTATAAACAGGACTAATAATTATAAGAAACTCATTAGAATTTTAAGTTTTATTTTTAGATTTATTTGCAATGCCAGAAATTGCAAACGTAAACACCACGGTCCCCTGGATTTAGAAGAATACGTCGAGACTCGAGATACCCTCATTCGAGACTCGCAGGTACAGTATTTTCCTGAAGAGCTCTTGGCTAAAAAAAGAGATCTACCAGTCTCCAACAAGAGTAAGTTAAAACCTCTTAATCCCTTCTTGGATAAGAAAGGTTTAATACGTGTAGGAGGCCGTTTAAGTAGCTCCAACTTGAATTACAATAAAAAATATCCCATCATCCTTCCACCAGACGGTAGATTCAAGAAGCTCATAATGGAATACTTCCACAAAAGAGATTTACATGTAGGGCCGCAGTCTCTTTTACATAGCATACATCAACAGTTTTGGCCTATAAATGGCCGCAACGTATTTAGAAAGGTAGTTCATGAATGCCTAACTTGCTTTAAAATGAACCCCACTGCAGTGACTCAATTAATGGGTAATCTTCCGTCTGAAAGAATATCACCAAGCCCGCCATTTACCAATACGGGTATTGACCTTTGCGGTCCTTTTCAAATCAAATACATGGGGCAGAAAAAGGGCATTTTGCAAAGGATTTATATTTGTATTTTTATCTGTTTGGCTATTAAAGCTGTTCATTTCGAATTTCTGACAGACCTTACTTCTAAGTCTTTGATTGCTGGCTTAAAAAGATTTTTTGCCCGACGGGGTAAGAGTTCAGCCATTTTCTCAGACAATGCAAGAAATTTTGTAGGTGCACGTTCAGAATTACAACGGTTGGAAAAGTTAGTAAAACAATCAGAATTTGGAGTAGCTAGCTATTTAGTTTCAGAAGGCATTGTTTGGAAGTTTCTTCCACCTAGAGCCCCTAATTTTGGAGGACTCTGGGAGGCCAGACGTTAAATCGTTTAAACACCATCTGAAACGAACTGTTGGCAATGCTAAGCTTACACTAGAAGAGTTTCTATTCAAATAGAGGGAATTCTGAATTCACGTCCTTTAACTCCATTATCCTCTGAACTTACACATTATGATGTCCTAAACTCCTGTGCATTTTCTGATTGGACGCCCATTAAATGCCATGGCAGAACCTGATGTATTGCATCTAAAAGAAAATAGGTTGTCTCGTTGGCAAAAAAACTACTAAAATAGTTCAGTCAATTTGCAAAAAGTGACATCGAGACTACCTTAACCATTTGCAGCAGCGCAATAAATGGCAATTTGCCAAGACAAACGTAAACCCTGGTGCCCTTGCTTTACTCAAGGAAGATAATCTGCCTCCTTGTAAATGGGCTACATGTCGTATACAGAAAGTTATAACCGGACCTTATGGAAAGGTCAGAGTAATTATGGTTAAAACTCCTACCGGCACATTTAAAAGATGCATATCCGAAATATGTCTGCCACGTATTGAATAATAATACGTATGTTGTTTATTTGATGAACCTCATTAATGTAGAATCATATTATATTAGATATTATCAATTTGGTAACTGTATAAATGTTCATGCTATTTTATTCTATTATATCCCAGAATGCACTATGTCGTAATGGATATTCTCATTTTAATAGTATTATACTTTATTATGTTACAAGTCTTATGCTGTATATTGAAGTATAAATGTTTCAACGCGGGGCGGGATGTTCCGTCCCATACTATTGTTGTAACATTCATCTCACTAGAGGGCGCTGCGACGCCCCCCACCCAAAACCAGCAGAACCTCTGTAGACCGCGAACTGAGCGGTTGTTTCTTTAGGCTCTTACGCCATCTTTTGTAATAGCCATCAGCGCTAGCAAGAGCGTACCGCTGTGATCTTTAAGGCCCCTGTGCCTTTCTATTGATGAATAAACCTTTATAATTGATTACAGTTCATTATTCTTTCGACCTATCTCACTCTCTAACAAGTCCAAAAGCGCAAAAATCCACGAGTGATCGATCCATGGGTGTATTTAGTAGGGATATAAGTGAAGTGTAGGGGCATGATGCCATTTTTAGTGCTCCATTTTTTTCCATGAAATTTACTGGGGATTTTGACGAGTGGCTACTTGCTTTGTGTTGATGCAGTTCTACTGATTGATGGCACCGTGGCTAATGAGAAGGTTTTTTATATTTGAAAACTGAGTATCATATACTATGTCTCTGATAATATATGGAATTAACCTTAACATTTTTATCCATTCTCTTTATTTTTAATTTGCCGTTATATGAAAACCAGCAATAATCATAAATCCCTTTGAAAAACTACCTTTGGATTCCTTGAAACATCTTTTAGGAATTTTTTTCTCCTTTTTAATGATAATAGTGGATCTCGTTTGATTGCAGTCATTTAAATATACTACCATTCATTTATTTTTACAACAGTTTTCTATTTTTGTCCGAATAAATGTTTCTCAAAAAGAATTCTGAAACGTGTTCTGAATTCGGAGATATATCTTAGAGAAAAATGAAGCACATTATCTTTTTCGCTTTTTTAATATTCAAATCAGCATTAATAATTTGTTTTCTGTTGACAGTGAGCATTTAATCATTTTGCTACTGTCCTTTGATTTAGTAATATTTAATATTAAATATTTGCACTTTGCATTAAGTTCTTTTGCTTAAATAAGTATTTGGGACAATTTTTCCACTTGAAAACAAACTTTGATGTTTTTTATTTCCTTTCCCGTTGACAATAATATCTATTGTAGCTTTAGATATCGAAACCTCATGGCTTTCACAGTGTTTTGTAATAACTAGATACGAATAATTTTCCTCTGTAAGAGCACAGGCATAGCCTTCCATCCATTGCTCCTTTAAAACCGCCGTTTTGTATGAAAACAGAAATGCCAAGCAGTAGATGATAATTAATACTTTAAAAAATATAGCTGGAGTTAGAAAACAAATTTTCAAGCAGACGAAATGTTTTTATAGAAGCAAAATCGTCTAAAATTGTGCCAACATCCTCTGTAAACATTTCAATTAATATTTTCTTCATTTCCCTATTTAATTAAAACGATGTTAACTTTGCTTAAATTATACATACATTCTTAATTTTCACTATACGTAACGTATTTTTTCCATAGAACGTTATCTTTGCAAAAGCAATTTTATCATGTTCACAATGTATTAATGATACAAATGCCACGTATGGCAAAGGTTTACTGTATTTCGAAACGGAAAGTTAGTATAAAGAAAAGCATTCAATGAACACACAGAAAGCTTCTCAAACTTACATCCAACCATAAGTGCAGAAGACGTAATATTTACTAGGAAACTAGTAACAATTTTGCACTATTTTTAAATTAGTGTAGCATTCTAATTCAGTACGAAATTCAATACATATTTGAAATCAGAACACAGACCTTAAATTCAGTAGTGGCCTGTTTAAATTAGGACGTCTGGTCACTTTAGCTTTACAACAATTGCTTTTAGTATACATCTCGAATTTATTTCTTCATCTGTGTCGAATAAAAACAGACAGCATAGGGATATTTAACCTACTTGTGTTTAGCATGACCTTCAACGTCTAGTCTTGGAGGCAGTGAGGCGCCGGATTTCTTAAAAGAATCTATACTGCGGTTTCTATGGCTATTACTGTTTTTAATTGGATTGAAAGGACTGTTTTCTGTCTTTTAAACAGTGAAAACTGTTTACCACCATTCGAATATCTAGATTCATTAATAATGAGTCAAGATCACAGATTATCCGGATATTCGGGAAATAAGGATAATAAGGTTTGGCTTTTCTGTAGAACAAATGTTCTCTATTTACTGTAATGCAAAAGGGGGTATACTATTTTATTGGTTTATCCTATAATTATCTCCGATGAAAAGGGTTAATAACCTAAAATGGCGACTAATCCGACAGCAGTTAAAACAAACACAGAGAAAGAAGAAGAATCCATGCTATAATCAATAAAAATGTTTTTTCAATAATTTTCATTTATGTTCAAGCAGTTTAATCTGAAAAATAAGTTCACGGCGTTACGTAAATTAGTAAATCAGCGCTCAAAACAATAAAAATATATTACAAATAATAGAATAAAAATTATTAGAAATGAAAGAACCAAATAATAAATGGCATTACTGACAATTGATACCTAAGCGTGTGATTTATGTCTACGATTTAAGCAATTTATTTTTAATGCATGATTTAACAGTGCTCACATATTCCGGATTATTTAAATTACACTGCACTCCAAAAGTTAAGGAACAAGATTTTTTTTTGTATCTAATTTGAAAATGAAGCAACATAGAAACAAGAAATTTGCAGGACAAGTTCACTAAACAGTTTTTTGACTAATGCGACAAAGAATGCTTTTAAAGTTCAACACAAACATGAATTACAACAAAAAATTGCACTTTTGACAGAGAAAATCTAGTCTTGGAGAAACAGTACATCACAGGTTTTTGAGGAAAAATGTGGTGGTAACATTACAAAAATGGAATCTAATAAAGAATGTGTCCACCCCTACTGCAATACCACGTTCCATGCTTTCAATTAAGTTGTCGGTCAGTGAAATTGGAAGCAATGAACAGACACGGAGAAATCCTTGTTCAAGCTCATCTAGCTATCTTGGAGGGAGACTTAACGCAGAAATCCCTCTGCCAAGGTATTCCCAAAAATGCTTTATTGGATTCAAGTCTGGGAACTGAGCTGGCCATTCTATCCATTCCATACCGTGAACCTCAAGATATTCTTCAGCAAACCGAGCTCGGAGAGGTCACGCATTGCCATCCATCAGAAGAAATTCAGGCCCAACAGCAAAGTTATATGGGAGGACATATTGATCAAGGTCCTCGTCTCGATATTTCACACCAATCAAAGTTCCTCCATAGAACACAAGCATATCAGTGTGACCACCGAGCGAGATCCCAGTCCAAACCATTATTCCACTACATTTGTAACTGTGTCTTTCCGCTATGTGGGACTGGTTGTTACTGGTGCGTTGTTCTCGTTAGATCAGCTCACAAGCTCAATCATTCTCCAGTGTGAACTTGGACTTGTTTGTGAAGAGACAGATGCACAATGTTGACTGGTCCAGAAGACATGTTCTCTTGCCCAACATGAACAGGCACCTCTCTGTCCTCGGTGACCCGAGGAGTCCTCTTTGTCGTTGGAGGGACAACTGGTCGTCTTGCATAAAGACCTATATTGTGCAGGTGTCTGCATACTGTAGTAGCTGAGATTCGTGTTCCTGTTGCCACTAAATGTTTCGCCATGAGCTGAGGTACAATAATGTTGCTTCTTCTTTGGGCCGAAAGAGCTAAATAACGGTCTTCTGTAGGTGTTGTAACTCTTGGTCTGTCTGGAACATGTCTTCTAACCACAGAATCATCGGTTTCAAACTGATTCCACAGTCGGTTGAACACATTACGAGAGACATTGGGACGTCTAGAAGCATCAGCTTGTGACATCCCCATTTCCTTCTATCCGATAGCCCGCCACCTCAACCAATCGGGCAAAAAGAAACTTCTCCTGATATACTCTCCTGGATATTGTCAACAAAATTGCTAATAACAACTGAAGATCAACACTCGTGAACACAACTTGCAATTTTTGCATTTTCTCTACCTACCATATAAGTATTCATTTCTATAAAATAAAAGTGGTAGCTATTGTTTTTGCATATATTTTCTCAAACTTCGTTATCATCATGCATATGAACTGGGAATTTAAATGTTACTGACATTTTGATAATTGTGAGCTTTGCAAAACAAGCTGTTCCTTAACGTTTTGGGGGGGGCAGTGTATATACTGCAATGGATTAAAAAAGACTCACGTATACTATGATTCCATTTGGCTATCACTGCTGTTATCCCTCGAATTACTCGTTTTCCTTTACTGTTTTTCTTAAACAATTTTGTTTTGTGCTAATGGTTTGTGTTAAAAATTTTTCTGTCTTCCCGCACTAAATAAGCT